CACACGAGGGGTTATCTAATTAAAAAAAAGATATAGTGGTGAAACGAAGACGACATGTGACTACTTAATCTCTATCAGCCTTTTCTGCGATAAACATCTATGTAATAACACACACACACACACGGTCACGAACATACGCACACATACACACATGCGCACGCATATACTCACACACATACGCACGCGCACACGTATGTGTATATATTTATGTGTGTGTGTGTGTGTGTGCGTGTCTATATCGATCTATCTATTTTTTGTATCAACCTGTGTGTATCTACCTATGCATCCATCCGTTAATTTATCTATTTATCACATTCCTCCCTGCCTAGTGTATCTATCACTCTATCTACCCTTATGTCTGTCCATCTACGTGTTTGTTTGTTTGTTTGTTTGTTTTTGTTTGCGTGTGGAAATACCGTATATTCAAACCCTGGCGCTCTTTTGTCCTGGAATTTCCCGCCAAAAGTGGACAAAGGTCGCTTACAGTACAGGTACGCGGATGAGGTTTCTCGACGCATGACATATTCATTTAAAAGATGTTTTATCTGCGTCATTCTTCTCCTTTTCTGAGAAATGTCAGTGAAGATAAGAGAGATAGGGGATATCAAGGACGGATAGCAGGGCAACCATTGTGGACATTTGACATTTTGAGTATTTGAGAAAGAGGAGAGAGAGAGAGAGAGAGAGAGAGAGAGAGAGAGAGAGAGAGAGAGAGAGAGAGAGAGAGAGAGAGAGAGAGAGAGGGGGGGGGGAGAGAGAAAAAAGAAAAGATAAAGGGAGAGTGACAGAGACACAGAGTAAGATGAAGAACGAAAAATGAATAAATCAAATCACCCACCGTATGCAATCAAACCTTTAAATATCACTCTTGGTAATAATAACACAACAATGATAAAAATGCTGGCAATAATAACAATAACTCGAAGCACTCAGGGATCGCATACCTCCGCCAAGGCAATAGGGTCACTGATGCAATAAAAATATTCACACTTGAAGAATTACATTAAAAAATCCTGAATCCGAATCACCACCAAAATTTAATGGTCTCTAAGGGGGTCTAAAAGTTCTTTTAAAAAAATCTGCTCATAATTTTTTTTGCGTTATTCTGTTAACCAATGAACCAACAGACTAACCAACGCTACCAAAAACATAACCTCCCTGGCGGATGTAATAACAATGATCATAATAATGACAATGATATTCACGATAAAAGAAATAATAATGGCAACATGATAATGATAATAAAACAACCATACCAAAAAAAAAAAAAAAAAAAAAAATCACCTGCGTTTTTCCCGTTTTTTTTTTTTTTTTTTTTATATTATCATTCATACCAATTATCATCATGAGATTTTTCGTCCATTTGCATAACAGTGAGAAACCAGAGTCGGGCAGTATCGATACTGAGCGATAAGAGATACGAAAAAATTGATAAAGAAGATAAGGCAACTGCTTACGTTCATATTTTCGACGTATTTTATCAGTTTTTTTTTTTTTTTTTTTTTTTTTTGGGGGGGGATGATATTTTAAGAACGACAAAGAAAAGATATTATATCGTATTATTAGAATCACCTTTTTTTTTTTTTTTTTTTTTTTTTTATCAAGGTCAGAAAAATATATAAGAGGCTGAAAGATAAGAGGTCTATGGATTTAGTAAAAACAGTGAGACAGACAGACGTATCGATAAATAGATGAATAAATAAGCAAGTACGTGTGTGCGCGAGAGAGGGAAAGAGAGAGGGAGAAGGAGAGGGAGAAGGAGGAGGAGAAGTAGAAGGAAAAGGAGGAGGAGGAGAACTAGGAGAAGGAGGAGGAGAACTAGGAGAAGGAGGAGGAGAAGGAGGAGGAGGAGGAGGAGGAGGATGAGAGAGGAGAGAGAGAGAGAGAGAGAGAGAGAGAGAGAGAGAGAGAGAGAGAGAGAGAGAGAGAGAGAGAGAGAGAGAGAGAGAGAGAGAGAGAGAGAGAGAGAGAGAGAGAGAAAGTGAGGGTAAGAGTAAGGGTGACGGTGAAAAAGAGAGAGAGAGGGTGAGTGCGAGAGAGTATGTGTGTGAAGGAGGGTGAGGGTGAGAATGAGAGAAAGTATTGTAAAAATGGAAGAGAAAAGGGGGGGGAGGAGGGGAGGGAAGGAGAGAGGAATAATGAGGGAAAAATAAGAAGGATATATTGCTTGGTCCTTGGTGAATTCATCCGTCCTCGAAGGTCTCGCCTAGGTCCTCCTCGACGTCCTCGAAGGTCTCGCCTAGGTCCTCCTCGACGTCCTCGTAGGTCTCACCTAGGTCCCCCTCGACGTCCTCGCAGGTCTCGCCTAGGTCCTCCTCGACGTCCTCGAAGGTCTCGCCCAGGTCCTCCTCGACTTCGGATCGTCCAGTCTTCCTCGTAGTCCTCGTCCAGTTGTTACTCGGCGGCGTATTCGTCCACACGTCCACGCAGACCTTTTCCAGGTCCTCGGCCTAGTGCTCGCCCAGACGTCCTCGTAACCTGCGTCTGGGCCTACGGGCGTCGTAGCAGGAGCGTCCTTTCGAGCATCCACGGGCGGATGATACCTGCCCCGAGGAATTCCTGGAGTTCGAACGCATCCCGACTGATACCTGCTTGAACGAGATCCTGGTTCTCCGCAGGATCTACGGGCGTCCTGACAGGCGGCGCCCTTATTACTTCATTCTGGGGCGCCTTAATACCTGCACTAACGAATTCCTGGCGATCTTCTGGCGACGTGGGTGCAGTTGGGTCTCCTTTGGTGCCGTGTCGGATATCCACGGTCCATGTAATACATCATCTAACCAGATCATACATGTAACAGCTAAGACAGTGAGAGAAAAAAAAGAAATCAACAGAGAGGGAGGGATATTAAGTGCTACTAGCTGGTGTCTTTATATTAATTTGCAGTTTTTAAAGTTTATCATTTCTTTTTTTTTTCTTTTGTATTTCAAGAAGAAAAATAAGATGAGATGCACGTAGCAGTTTGCAAAGACCTGTTTGAGCTACGATCATCTCAGATAGACATGAGAACAGAAAAGGGAAACGACAATAGCAATCCACAAGGATTTACTTGAAGCAATTGTCGTCTCATAGAATAGGAAAAAAAATATGTAAATAAGAATTGTGCATTGTCACTCATCATGACCGGTAAAGTCGCATCACAAGAGATACACCTGCAACTACAACACAACAAACCCTATTAATGAAAGTTTGTATTTATGTTCTGAGTGAATGAGTGAGTGTGCAATGATTGCGTGTAATGTTGTAACTCGTCACGACTGACTAAATTGTGGGCAAGAGAGATACCTCATCACTCTTTATGCCAACAACTACGACATCTACAGACTCTATTCATTAAAAGTTCGTGTCTTTTCTTCTGCGTGGATGATTGAGTGTGTGAGTGTAAGTGTGATTGTAAGGGTGTGAAGAGAGAGCTAGCTCAAATAAAGAATGTATCACAAACACAAATCAATGTTCACTCTAACAATAAATGTCACAATTATTAAATGTTAATACATTATTTTTACTATCACATTGAACTCAACATTGAATGATATGCGACTTAACGTACGCAATTATGCACGATGACATAATTCTTTGCAAGCTTCTGCAATGCAAACTTCTCAGTTCATAAATGTTTTTACATTATCCCTGATTGCATTTAATCTGAATTACAAATTCGCTAGAAATTCTGATAAACTGAGGTAATTATTTCTTTGCTTTTGTATGTTCAGAACGTGTCACAATTTAGCAATGAAGGCCAAAACAGAGAAATAAAATTTCACCGTTAGTCCTTTTATAACCAGCAAAACCACCATAAGAGCGATTGCACATTTTACACGGCATAACATATATGGAAGGAAGGAAGGCAGGGGAGAGAAGTGATTGGCCCATAACGTGTCCTTACATGGTTTTGGAAATATTTTCGTATGGTGGCACTGGGCGAGTGAGATTTTCGGAGGCGAGTTCGTCTTTTCTAAGCATGTCAACCATTACGTCCAACACCGTAATCACCAATAACCAATTTTCTAATGGAAAAAAAAAAAAAAATCCTGAGGCCAGAGGATTGGGCATAAACATTTTTTTACATCAAATAAACATGGGTTTGTGCCTTTTGAAATTTCTAATCTAAAGGCTTTTATTCTTAACATGTTAAAATCATCTGCAAATCATAAATAAATTATTTCCTCAAAATGAAAACTTATTTCACTCTATACACTAAGTGGTATGCCATCTTAATGTATGGTATCTTAAGTGTAGTTGCCAAGTCTAAAATATATAATTTCTTTCCCGGCATATTTTGCAGATTAAAGTCAAACTTTCTTCTGATATTTAGTTGTATGAATAGTTGTAAATTCAAGCCATCATTCCCTGAATCGGATTTCTTTCCCATTGTAGATTTGAGAAAACACCAAGCAGTCGTTATTAGACACCTACGTCCCTACTCACTACATACTACACAAATATCGGCAGATGTAAATTGTCATCTTCAGACTCATGGTGTACGAGTTGGAGCTGTTGGCAACTATACAATGAATGAAATGGATGTGATGTGCATAAAAAAAAAAAAAATTGTTTAAAATAACATCAGAAAAATATTGTCAATATATATATTGATATTGAACATGAACTGAACATCAAAAAATTGTGCGGAGATGCAAAATACCCATATACTTAATTATTTTTTGCTAGAACTAATAAAACCAACTTCATTCCACGTGTATGGAATAAAAATGACAAGGGTAATCTCTCTTAAACCATAAATAAGCCAATAAATTTTCTTATCACAATCCTAACCTCTCAAGACAGTATTACATACCTAAAATACTTCGTTTGATATAAGGATGTATGATCGTACACCTGAAACATTCATTTAGGGAATAAAAAAAACACAAACACAAAGGAGAAAGAAGAAAAAAAGATGAGATAAAAATAGTCTAAATAAAATCATAAAAACCCCTTCCTCTCCTCTATTATATGTCCAACTGTTTACATCAAGAGGATGATAATAACAAGTCCACTCTGTTCACTCTGCTTTAATCAATTTTGACAAATCACTTCACATAAGCTCCTTGGCCTTGTCAGTGCATGGCCAATGATGATTAACATCTACAACAGACATGTGTGAACTACCTGTTGTGGGGTGCTGTGCGGAATTGTGAATTATTAGTTGCAACAGAGATTATGGGTAAATTTCACAACTCCTGGACAAAGATTAGTTATTTATCAATTCAGTTTTATTTGTGTACATTCAAAAGGGTTATGAACAATGGTGATTACACTGCACTATGGTAATGGAAAATAAGTTATACACATTACAATGAAACTGAAATGGCAAAATGCGTATACTTTTTTTTTTTTTTTTGGATTGGAATGTATAACAAAACCAATATGGAGTCAAAGTCTGGCATTTTTGCTGATTTTCACATGTTTAATTGCACTAGGAATGTAATAAACATTACTGTCTTGCTTTTGAACACATTTAAATATTTATGAAAAAATAAAGCTTTATTCACACATCAAAACAAAAATCAAATACATGTATGCAAAAACATCACCAGTCATCATCAACCCAGATATATCAACAAATTCATCAAAAACAAACAACCAATCAAAAAACAATAACAAATCACTTCCACATCGAACTTCCTCATGGCATACTGAGTCCCATATTCCCATCACCGGGTTTTGTACATCCTCAAAAAATGCATCTGCAAAACACTTTTAAAGAAGTGATGGTCACCGCTATACCCGAATCCACTTGATTTCACATGGCATTGGAGGAGCCCACTGCTTTCCACTTCTCCATATGATTTCTCTTTATTTTGCTTCCCCTTCACACTTTTTCTTCTAGGCTTCTCTCGGCTCCCTCTTCCACCACAAGCATGTTTGGCAACCCCATGCAACAGCTGGACTGGCCCTACTGGTTGGCTTTCTTGAAGTATTTGAGTTTCTCTTCTGGGTTGGGGATGATCTGGGGAAGAGGAACAGAAGTCAGTAATGGCAAGCTAGATATATACATGTAAAAGGCAAGATGGGAGGGAATGAAATAAATGGGTGGAGAAACATGGGAGAGGTAAAACAGACAGACAGGACGAGAATAAGAGTTTGTGTATGGGCTGTAGTACTTTAATGAGGATTATGTAAATTGGTTATAAAGATAAGCAAGTATTATAATACTGTTTCTTCCTCTACTTAAAAAAATACTACTACTACTGCCGCTGTTCATAATCCCTATAATAGTTGTACCTACATCAATAACTGCATATACATTTGATCTAAAACACCCCCACCAGTATTTAACAAACAAAAAAGTAGGTCATCTTAAAGAAAAAAGAAACCCAAAGACTTTCAGCAGCAAACTCGCATACCCCTCTAATAAATGGGAGAAACAGACAAGCTGACACTCACTCACTCACTCACACTCGCACACACACACACAACGCACACACACACTACTCGCACACGCACACACACACACGCACACACACACACACACACACACACACACACACACACACACACACACACAACACACACACACACACACCACACACACACACACACACACACAGAAGACCAGTAAAAATCTAAACCAAAAAGCAGACAAGCTACCCACCGTGTCATCCCCAGGCTTCCATCCAGCTGGGCAGACTTCCCCGTGCTGGTCTGTGAACTGGAAGGCCTGCACCAGCCGCAGGGTCTCGTCCACAGACCGGCCCACAGGGAGGTCATTCATGGTGATCTGCCGCAGCACTCCCTTGTCGTCAATGATGAACAGGCCCCTGGGGAGAGATGGATGAGGATGAGAAGAATGGGATAATAAAATCATGATTCAAAGTGTAGATATTTCCATAACAAAGGTATAGAATAATGATGAATATTGTTAGTGACGAGGCCTATCGTTTATAACTAATATAACAAAATCTCTATAAATAGCAAGAATTACATTAAATATATACAGCAAACCATTATGCCCTAATAAAAATACATCATAACAATGAACAATAATAATTCTCAAAATTTAAAAATATGTCATCCAAGCTAAAGAAAGGAATTACAGACCTAACAAGGTGGCAAAAGGAACAGCTTCGGAACAGCCACTTGACACGTACCTGAGGGCGATGCCTTGGTCCTCCAGGTGCACACCATAGTCCCGTGAGATCTTATGAGTGATGTCGGAGAGCAGTGGGATCTTCAGCTTGCCAAGACCACCATCCTGCAGGGAACAATCTGCATGAGGCACAGCAGCAGGGATGAAGAAAGAGACAGAAGGGAGAAGGGGTTTTTGGCTTTTCGATTATGACACAAAGATGACGACTTCAGTGATGCCATAAGCTAATGATGGTACTTCCCCAACTATATTTTCATCATTATATATATATATATATATATATATATATATATATATATATATATATATATATATATATATATATATATATATATATATATAAAAGGATTACATTCTTTCATAAAAATCTAAATGAAATGAAGGGATGAATTTTCAGAAAAATTTCAAACATTGTTTTTCTGGAAACATTTATAGGTGTTTCTTAAAACATGCTCTTTCCCTGAGCACGCAGGACGCAAAATGCAGCAAGGAAAATTTAAATGGCTAAGTGTGTGGAGGGAGGAACCACTCCCCTTTGCGGTGTTCTGATAAGGATGATGAGGGACTTCTGTGAGGGAGAGGGAGATATCACTTTATGTTCTATCTGTCCTCTGATGAGGATGAGGGTGAGGGTGAGGGTGAGGGTGAAAAGGAGCATACCTCTGCCTCTGCCTCTGCCTTTGCCTCCCCCGCCTTTGGAGGCACATCCCCTGTGGCCCTAGTGTCACCACATGCCCCACAACCAGGCTGTAAGATCGCTTTGCGCCATTCCCTTGTTAAGGGAATGCTTGCACATGGTTCCACAGATCCTGGGTGGTGGCCTTACCATCACTTGCCATGGCTCAGGCTTTGCACAGTTTGACAAGTGGTCATGTCAAATATGTGGTGCCATTATGGCCACAATGCACCCTAAGGCCAGTGGATCATACACACAATTTGTTCTCGGTGTATATATCCCTGGTGAATGACAATGGTAACAATGGATATATTTGGTATTGTGGTGCCCTCCATGTTCCATCCTTTTCAAAGTTTGCATACTACCATCATACACGGGTACTCTTTGAAAGGATAAGAGGCCCAATCAATGGCCATTGTATATCAGACGGTCCTTCGATATTATCAGGACAAACTTGTCGCCAATATACTTCCCATCAAGGTTTCATATGATCTAGCATATGCCGAACATGGGTTCAAGAGCCTCTATGCCACGGGATACTTGGTTGAGGTGTACACCGGTTACGTTATTGATATGGTGGTTATTGCTAGATGCTGGTTGTGCCCTCACATATCCCGTGGCATGGAGGTTTGCCCTTATGGGGATTATATCGGGTCATCAGGAGGGATAGAGGTCCAGATTGCGAGGATACTAGAAGGCCGATCTTGTGACCTGGGGTTTGAATACAGTCATGGTGGTTGACGGCGATGCTGCCACCTTCAACACTGTTACACACTCGTACTGTTGTGATTTTGTAGTGAAGGAAATGTGTAAACCATGTTGGCAAGTGGATGAAAACCTGCTTGCTCAAGCTGGCGAGCACATTCACCAAGAGCATGCATGATCTTTATGTCGGGGAGTTTACCAACTCCATACCACTCCCCCTTTCATGTGCTTCTACAGTTACAGCACCCTACAGTTTATTGCCAGTGCCAACGTGACCTGAGCCCCTGCCTCCAGTGTAAACAATCCTGACACTTACTGAAAACTTTTGCCGATTACCGTTTAACCAAATGTAAAGTCATATACTGTATACTCAGAAAGTTCCTTGGAAATTACTATCTGTATCACCGAAGCATCACACAGCTCAGTATACAAGGCAAGGTTCTTGCCCACATCCTTCTGAGACGTATCAGAGACTGGAGCAATCCGGATTCACTCCTGGTAAGTCCACAATAGACCGTATCCTCGCGCTTCAAGTCATTGTAGAGCGCCGTCGTGAGTTCGGACGTGGGCTGCTTGCAGCCTACATCGACCTCAAGAAGGCGTTCGATACAGTGCATTGGGAGTCGCTTTAGGAGATCCTGAGGCTGAGAGGAATAACAACAAGGATTATTGGACTAATAGCAAGCCTGTATACTGGTACTGAAAGTGCTGTAAAGTGTGGTGGGGGCCTGTCAAGCTTCTTTCCTGTTAGTTCAGGAGTGAGGCAAGGCTGTGTCCTTGCACCAACTCTTTTCAACACTTGCATGGACTGGATACTGGGCAGAGCTACTGTTCAAAGTCATTGTGGGGCAACGCTGGGCAATATCAAGGTTACAGACCTTCACTTTGCTGATGACGTTGCCATTCTATCTGAGTCTTTGGAAACCCTAGTGGCGGCTCTCGATGCATTTAGCAATGAAGCGAAGCCCCTGGGTCTAGAGGTCTCCTGGACCAAGACCAAGGCCCAGGAATTTGGGGACTTGTTAGGAGAGCCTGTTCAGTCGGTACGTGCTTGCGGCGAGGACATTGAACTCACAGAGAGCTTTACATACCTTGGTAGTGTAGTTCATAACTCTGGGCTGTCAGACCATGAAGTCAGCAGACGGCGGACTGTTGGCGGGACCATGTGTCCAACTAACGGTTGCACCGTGAGACTGGCACAAGCCCTGTTATCTGCACAATCCGTGATCGCCAACTCAGGCTATACGGCCACCTGGCTCGCTTTCCTCAGGATGATCCTGCCCATCAGGTCGTCTCTGTTCGAGACAACCTTGGGTGGAGGAGGCCTGTGGGACGACCGAGGAAGTCATGGCTTGGGCAGATCGACCAAACCTGCCGTGAAGAACTAGAGCTGGGCCAAGTCCCTGCCTGGCGTCTAGCCATGAGGGATCCTCGTAGGTGGAAGCGAAGGGTGGATGTGGCTATGCTCCCCCGTCAGCGTCAGCCCCCATGATGATGATGATAGAAATATATATATATATATATATATATATATATATATATAATATATATATATATAATAATATATATTATTCTATGTGAATATATAATGATTAGATTGTGTACAATGACTAATTTTTGTATTTCTATCTTTCCGGGTACCACCGGCAAAAGCCAGCGCCCAGGTCTTCTCATATGAAGGACTGGGTAGAAACCACTGCCTTGGAGCTTAGGGTTTTCATTTGCCTCAGGATGGCCATGAGGTTGAATCCTAAGCCTGAGCTGAGGAGTTAATGGTCGACCGATCTTTTCTACCACAGTCCCTTGTTCCCAGTGACTATGACGCGGGATTGTTTCGAACAGCTGAGCCGCTACCTCCATATGGCGGACAACGAGGGGAGTCATCCCCCGATGACCGCCTGTGGAAGTTGCGGCCAGTTATCGAAACTCTCCAGCGTCAGTTCTCGTCGGTCTATACTCCTCCAAGGAGGATTATGGTCGACGAGAAGCTCTGGAAACTTCGGGGGCGCTTTGTAGCCGTGACCTTCAACCCCAGCAAGCGCTCGCGCTTCAGGGTGAAGGTTTATAAGCTCGCGGTCAGTGAAGGCCCAAGCAACGGCTACATATGTGCCTTTGAAATTTACACGGGCAAGGACAGAAGCGACATACCCGCATCCCAGAGGGCTGTCATCCACTTGATGGGCGCCGCGGGCTTATTTGAAAAAAGGTATGACTTATATACCGATAATTGGTATACGTACCCTACCCTTTTTCATTGCCTGCAGAGCAGGAGCACGAACGTGCTCAAGCCCACTGATCTGCAGGTAAAAGCCCGTGAAGATGTGGACAGTCGCAGCATGCCTACAGGCATGTTGTGCCTGTAATGGCGCGACAGGCATGAAGTGACATTGCTGTCGACTATCCACAAAAGCTAGATGGTCGCCACCCAGTCCCGCAGGGGGTTTGAGAGGATCAAACCCTAAGTAGTCACAGACTACAACTGTGGGATTAAGGGGGTCGATACCAGTGATCGGCTGGCTGTATCGTACCCGAGCACTCGCAAGTCCCTCAAGTGGTATAAAAAGGTTTTGTTCAACCTTGTTGATATGGCAGTCGTCAACGCCTTCTCATTGCACAAGGTGCTTGGAGGGCGATTGACTCAGCTGATCTTCAGGAAAAAGCTTGCAGAAGATCTCATGCAGCTGGGGAGTCGCCGTGGTACAGAGGTCAGGTCACGGTCTAGCTCCCTCTCTCCGCCCCCTGCTCCAGCTCTTCTGGGTATTCACTGCCAGATATCAACACCTCACGGCAGATACCATAGGTGCAGACAGTGCTACACTCGTGGCGTGAGGAGGATGACCAAGATGATGTGTTCAGGGTGTGATGTTCCTCTCTGTCGGACTTCCTGCTTTGAGGAATATCACACTCTGAACGCATCTACGTCTAGGTAATCCTCCTCACGCCACGACCTTGTAAATATTGTGCATAATTTACTTTTGTAAATAAAATACGAAACGTAAAAAAAACTTTCTATATCTTCATATACCACACTACTTCTTTACACACCAATATGAAATGAATACTGAAGAAAATAATCTTGATATAACATAAAATATTGAAACACTTTGAAAAGAATGAAAAGAAAGATGGAAAAAGAAAAGAAAAAGAAAGAAAGCTTCTTTACAGAGCTTGGTCCAATGATATTGAACAAATACGACTCCCAAAAATAACTTACACCAGGAATAAAAAAATAAAATTATATGTGTATTACGTACATGATGTGATCACGTACTTATAAAACAACACTGAGAAGAGAAATTGAAAGCTATATCTTGGTCATGAAGTAATAATATAGACCTCGTGTGAAAACTAGGATAGTTGATATGATAACCTAGAAAAATGAATAACGAAATTCAACAAAAAAAAACTATGGTTATAAACACCATCATACATCAAACTGCTTACTTTATTCAGAGTAAAGGTGAATAATTATCAATTGTGGAGTCCATACTACGAAAAAACTGTCATACATACTTGACTTACACGAAAACATAGCAAATATATACCTTAGAAAATAATAATAATAAAAAAATAAAAAAAATTCTTAGTGATACTAAGAAAAGGCAAGGAATGCTGGTATTGCGCTTGAGCGGTCGCGCGCCATAGGGTAATGGCACGGGTCCCTGGCAGCGAGGCCCATGCCGCTTTGAATACTGACCGGGGAAAGGGTCTCGCGTATCGGAAAATGCCCCGTTGGCAATGGGTTAAAGGATAATTTACAAAATATATATCAAAAGCAAAATTCTTACTGAAACAAGGTCTTTACTTTACAAATATTAGCTCTTTATACTGTCACCTATCACGCAAACACAGGCTCCGTCTAAGGAAAGGTTAAAAAATATTTCAGAACTCTGCTGTGAGAACCATGCTTGGCATTGAAAATAATACAAAATAAAATCATCTTGTATATATAATCTCAATGTGCATATGAATGTATGAATGTGTATGAAGTGATGAAAATGTAATTGAGAAAATATTAACCCTCATATTCAGTAAATCTCATCAATAACAAATCATTCATTATCAACAATCAATCATGATACAGTCCTGCTAGCCCAATCCAAGCAGAGATGGGTCACATATACCAAGACTGAATGCATTATCTTCCCTACCTTGCGTGGTGTGTTAGTCCAGGCAAGATGGGTAAAGTGAGAGTCTATGGAGCAGGCCACGACCTCCGCGTTCATCTTGCGGAACTCCTCAACGCGGTCATTAAAGGCCAGGATCTCCGTTGGGCAGACAAATGTACTGCAGAAGGAAGACAAAGAAAGACTGGAATTAATACCATATACAGTAGCAAATAAAGAAAATGGGAAAATGGGTAGTAGGGGTGTGTGAGAGATAAAGAGAGATAAAGAGAGAGAAAGAGAGAAAGAGAAAGAAAGAGAGGAGAGAGGAGAGGCTGAAAGGATAAGCAAATAAGGTAAACATGTCAATTGAGAAGGGTACAATAATTCTTCAACCAACAGTCTCCTTTCTTGACAAAAATTATACAGGTCACCTTAGTAATGCCTGGGTGACAAACTCCAGTCAAAATCATTTAATGCCATTTGGACATATCAACATTTACAATGTCACCACCACCCTCTCAAAGGTAACTTCCTATCATAATCAATAAAAATAATAAGAAAACTTAGAGCAAGTACTGGGTGAAGAAAAAATATAAAACTGCTCACACTATCAATGTGGTAAATGAAGAATAAATATATAACATTTCGTATTTTCCAAAAAGAAAAGAAAAACAAATCTATAAACATTTTAGCATATACAAAAAATCTGCTCAAGTTTTAGTTACATTTAACTTGAAATAACTCCCAATGTTGCACATATAATTCCAACTCTCATATCAAACCGTAATCTACATTCTCACTCATGTGAAGTGATATCAAATCAAAAACCGGAAATTACAAAATGTTTACATACATTCACTTTCTTGTAAATATCTTCAATGTGGAAATGAGAAAGATCTAAAAGTGTTTAATGCATTGTATCAATAATTTCTTCATAAATCTTTGGATTCCCTTTGTGTAATGCTGCCATAAGAATCCATGACTATTCATAACACCATTCATGAAATGAGAGCAGCACAGAGCTGCACTTCAACGAAGAACAGCAGCACGTGTGCAGATTTCTAACTGTGATAAAATGCCTATGGGCCGTGTTTTGAGTATTCTGTATAGACACTAGCTTTTTTTTTTATAATCTTCACACTTCAAATTTCAAGATTATCCAGGGGGAGATTACAGACATATCATATATGAGGAAGAGGGAGAGGATACCCAAAGAAAAGAGAAAGTGGGGGATATATATAGACCTACAGACTCGTTCTTCTGAAATTGGAAATCAATATGTTACAAAAGATTAGATAATCTTAGAGCAGTTATGATATTAGCCTACTGTTATTTCTTATCACTTACAACAGTATTGCCCATATAATAAATATATATTAGGACTTCACATGAAAAAATACACGAAATACAACTATAATTACATTAAATGTTTCTTACATTTTAAACTAACAAATAAAACTCTTCTGGATGTAGACATATTCAAGATATTACTTATCATGATCACTAGCCTAGTAATCAACTAATAAGTAATAACAACAATAATAGTAGTAGTAGTAATAATAATAATCATTCATGTACAAAAACATTTAATAAAGAAGTTTTAATCTAAACCTAAATCTGTTTTTCTATGAACAATATCTTTGAAACATACAAATCTAAGGGGTAGAAGAAGAAGACTAGGTATTTCCCCCTGAAGTCCGTCAGCTTGAGCTCACGGAACTCTCCATCGATGACCGCAGTGCCTTCCCACTCCGGGGCCGGTTTGCTGACTGAAAGATGAAGAAAATGCCTATGATTTGAAGGATGATGAAGATATAGAGAATAATAAAAAAGTATGATGTGCATAAATCAAGTCTTTGGGTATAAATATTCTTACAACCACTGAGAGAGATGTAATATTATAAATAAAAGATGCCAAAACTGATCTTCATTTGTTGTATATATAGTTGGTCAAATTAATGATTTATGCAGATACTAAGCCAACCTGGCCATTTTTAGTTTGTTTCAATTATTCAGTACAATATGAAAATGAATCCCTGTTAATCTAGATCCTACCAGGAATTCACAAACATCACCATATGACCCAAAATATTTACCAAACCTGGGGTAACCCCTACTCGCTGCGCAGCATTTGTTGCAACCTACTTTCTATTTTCTGAGGTTATTCTT